CGCCCAAAAGAGAAAAACACCCAAAAAAAAAAAAAAAAAAAAGAGGCCCTCCCCTGACCACTCAGCACCACACAAATTAAAAAAACAAAACAAAACAAAACAAAACCTACAAATATTGGGTTGTCGAAAAATCAGGATGTATTTTTCTATGCAAAATGCATCTGGCCTTTTCCGATGACCCAGTAGAGCTACCTAACACAAGGTAACAGACAAAGGGTTCAAAGAAAAAGTCAACTTAGATGCCGTGGCCACAGAACAGAAACTGCCATTCAGAAAGGAAGATGAAATGAAGCCTTTTCCTCGAACACCAGCAGACCTTCCCTACAGGAAGGGTAACGGAGTCTTCGGCTGGAAGGAAATGATACCAGGCAAAGCCGGGAGCACAGAGAAAAAGGGGGCACTCAGTGGCCCCCCTGCCAAACACAAAAGGCATCATTGTGCTTTAAACAGTCAATTATATCGAAATACTTAAAAAAATTTTTTTGCTTTTAGGGGGAGAAGGGATTGCAGCATGGCCATCCCCCCTGGGGCGTGATTTCTTGCTTTCTGTCTCTCTGTCTCTCTCTGTCTGGCAAGTGCACGTGCCCTATAGCAAAAACCTCTTTAAAACAAACAAACAAAAGGTTAAAAAAAAAAAAGAAAAAGAAAAGAAAAACCTTCCTATTTACTTAGGAGGAAAACAGCACGTTGGTATCAAAAGAAAACTCCAGACCAGTGTTGCTCATGGATACGGATGTAGGATTCCTACAAGGTATCTGTAAACCAAGTCCAGAGAAACGTAACAGAGAAATCATGGCCAAGGCGGGTTGTTCTAGAACTTTAAAATTCCTTTAATATTAAAAAAGTACTTCATTATGTAAGTACTTCAATATAAGTATACTGAAAAAGCCATGATATATTTTTTCTGCTTTTCTTGCAAAAATACATTACGACCTTTCTGATGACCTAGTGAAATAAATCCACGAGGATCTCAATAGCTATAGGAACAATCTGACCACACTCAGCCCCCCTTTCATCACTGCACACGCCCAGCGGACTGTGACCAGAAGGGTTCCTTAGCTTGACTGAGAGCACCTCCAGCCGGCGCAGGTGCAGGCTGAATGCTTTCCGAGAGAGCGCCCGGGCCGACTCCTGCTGCTTCCTGGTTGCTCTAGAGATGTCCTGCTCTAGGGCGTGCTCATTCACCAGAGATGGAAAGCCAGAACTCAGCCCCCGGGGGTGGCCACGCCAAAATCCCTTCTCCTCCATTTTCCTCAGGATTTGGGGCACGCACGCACGCGCACCTGGCGCGTTTTAAGACTCAAACTGCTGCCGACTGCGTGGGAGTGCAGCAATGTTAACGCACGCCATCTGCTCTTCCCAGACTGTCTTCATTCACAGCCAGCACAGTCGTGCACGTAAGCATCCTGAGAAACCAAATGCTGCTAGAAATGTTGTGCATGCGTGGGTGTGTGTACTAACTGCTATGGGGGGTGTGCTTGAGAGCAGAGAGAGCACCCTCCCCTGTGGGGTGGTCTCTTCTCCATTCTCCTCTCGGGATCTTGGGCACGCACATACACGCACCCAGCGTGAGTTTTTAAGCCACTGGGTCTGGGACGCAAACCGCGGTCGACTACGTGGGGTCCAGCGACATAGGCATTACGCTAATTGCTGGTCCCTCTGACCCCTTTATACAGAAGCCACAGAGCCAAACTCAACTGCCATGATGGTTGCTGACACGCAAAACTCCCCAAACTCCCACCCTGGTTAACAGCCTCTCAACCCTGGCTCCTGCAGTGTTAGGAGAGGCCCCCGTGCCACTGTTAGATCCTGCAGCGGCGAGGACTCCATGGGCCCGCCTAGGAAACGTACGTGCCAGCAGCTCCCAGAATTCCGGTGCGGCTTCTGAGGTAGGATGTATGAAACAGCAGGCTTTCTGCTTATCTCCTCATCGGCTAGTCTTATGACTGAGGTCGAGCAGCGTGTACTCGAAGACCCGCGATGTGGTGACCCCCGAGCTCATCTACATGCAGCGTGGACTCAGCAGAGCTGACTTCTGTGACGTAAGCTTTGTGACTGAGCATCCTGGCTACACTCGCCTGGTAACTCCAGAACTGGGGTGCACGTCACAGACCCCTGCTGCCTTGTCAACACGTCCTTCAGCTGCGAGGAGACTCAGCCACGCCTCCGGAGCTGTATCACCTTTGGCCACTAACTCCTGACACACTCAGGTACTGGTCTTTCTCCAGTCTTCCCAACGTGCCCCTGCATTTCTTTTCAGATTTGTGTTTCTCCTTGTTAACTACACTCCCACCGCCCTTGTTTCAGAATGCCGAAACCGCTTCTCAAAAGACCATGCAAAGGGACCAGCAGTTAGCGTAATGGCTATGTCGCTGGACTCCCACGTGTTCGACTGTGGTTCGAGTCCTGGACCGGTGGCTTAAACTTACACCGGGCACGTGTGCATGCGTGCCCAAGATCCCGAGAGGACAATGGAGAAGGGATTGTGGCGTGGCCATGCCCCCTAGGGGGTGATTTCTCACTTTCTGTCTCTGTCTGGCAAGTGCACATGCCCTATAGTAAAAACCCTCTCAAAAAAAAGACCATGCAAGCACAGGGCCCCCGCCCTCTGGTGCAAGGCCAGCTCCTGCAGGGAGCGGGGGTGGATGGTGGGTGGGTTGGAGGGTAAGCACAGGGCCCCCGCCCTCTGTGCTCCCAGGTCAGTTCCTGCAGGGAGCTGGGGGGGGGGCAGGGTAAGCACAGGACCCCCTCCCTCTGTGCTTCCAGGTCAGCTCCTGCAGGGAGCCGGGGGCAGGGTAAGCATAGGACCCCCGCCCTCTGTGCTGCCAGGTCAGCTCCTGCAGGGAGCCGGGGGCAGGGTAAGCATAGGACCCCCTCCCTCTGTGCTGCCAGGTCAGCTCCTGCAGGGAGCCGGGGGCAGGGTAAGCATAGGACCCCCGCCCTCTGTGCTGCCAGGTCAGCTCCTGCAGGGAGCCAGGGGCAGGGTGCAGCAAGGACCTGAAGCCCGTACTCCCCTGCCAACTGCCCGAACGAGTCCGGACGACAAAGCCGGGCTCCACTCCCCAAGAGCAGGCCGCCCAGATCTGGATCTGCAGTGCTGGCCCAGGGCAGCAACAGGAACCGTGTGTGCCATGGCCTTGGGGTCCTCCTCCTAGGTCTGCACCTGACCACCGTGGCACGGGCCTATAAACGGGCACGGCCTCTTCTGCAGCTGTGCTGGGAGGAGAGCCAGGCTTCGAGAACAAGAGGCTTGTAACCACGAGTCACTTAGTAAAACTCAAAGTATTTGGGAAAGATACTCAGAATCAAAACAGGAGAAAGTTCTGAAAATAAATTTTAATAGTTATTCTGTAACAAAAGGTAGTATATTCTTTAAAAAGTAGACTTCACGTACAAAACATTACTATGAAGTTTATTTTAGCACAAGATAAAGGCAAAGTGTAGTATTCTGTGAAACACAGCCGTCACCGGCCGTTCATCTTACACTCATGTGACCCACCGGAGCCGTGACGGACAGCGCTGCACGGACCACACGGCAGCAACAGCAGGCAGCACCGTGGTGCCTGCACTTCCGCAAACGGGGTTACGCCTGGTGACTGAACGGACTCTACCTGGGGTGTGTTCTCAGTCCCCAGCAAGGAGTAGGCTTCTCTTCCTGTGAGTAGCTGTGAGGCCGAGAGCCGCCCCTCTGAAGCCGCTGCCACCTCCTGCTGCAGCCCCCTGACGCGCATCCGTCCCAGCTTTGGCCTCTGCTAGGCAACAGGCCTCTTCCCTCTCTAGAACACACACATTCATCTTCCTTTTCAAAACAGAACTGTTAACGTGTAGCTAATCAACTGGAAGCAGGACAGGAATAACATCTAGAAAGTTCTTTATAAAGTCAGACCCGTGGAAACAGCAGGCTGTTTGTCTTCAGACATTCACCGTAAAATAACGTGGCTGCGACGCCCTTCTCCCGTCCGGCGGCTGGCTCGCAGGAGCGCCTGCAGTGGTGGCTGCTGCAAGTGACGTCTCCTAGCTGTGCTGCTCTCCGTGAGGAAGCCAAGGACGAGGAGGCCCAGGGTCACATGGGAGCTGAGAGCTTCTCTCTCTCTTCAAATTGCTTGTCCACTGCCAGAGACAGTGCCTGGAGGAACCCCTCGACGGTGACGGTGGGAGCCTGGAAGGACACACGGCCATTGCCGGGGGCAGTACACACTCCGAGTGGACAGCATGCAGGGAGCCTGGGCCTGAGCCGTGGCAGCTGCTACCTGAGGCCGCCCTTAGCCACGGCCCGGCAGGGCATGGGAGTGCCACACGCCCTGCATGCCGGAGCAGCGCTGGGGCGGGTGGGGCACTGGAGAAGCTGCGGAGCAGGCCTAGGGGCCGAGGTCTGCCACCCGGAGCCCTTTCTGAGGGGCTCGCCCACATCAGGGGCTATGGGGACCCCAAGGACATACTGGTGTCTGACCAGAGCCAATCATGGTGTTCAAATACTCACACGTAAATCGAACCTTAACATCCAGCTACTCTCACTGCCTCCAGTACAGGTCACCTGTCCCCTCAGCTCTGGGTGTCACGCCCAGCAGCGGCCGCAACTGGCCAGATGGAGCACCCGTCGACTGGGCTCGCCAGGAGCCCTCTCGGGATGTGTCTTCTCGTCTCAGACCTGGGCCCTAACTCTACCAGACGTGCAGGGCGTCGCCCTGAGCAGCTGTGGACAGGTCTGCAGCAGGGCCCTGGGTCAGGTCGCTGCTCTGTGGGAGCCGAGTCCAGAAAGGACACCAGCAGCTCGGAGGAGGCCGGAAGGGACCTGGACCTGAGCTCCCAGTGAACCATGGAGTGACTGCACGTACATGTGTGTGCATGCACATATAAGCATGTGAGCAGACATGGCAAAGCTACCCGCTCTGAGGATTTCAGGCAGCCCTAAGACAGAGATGTCAGGCCAGCCCCTCCTACTGCCCCTAGGTCTTTGGAAACCAAGGTAGAAAATGGCACCCTTGAGGTCAGCAGGCAGCGTAAAGGTCTGAATGTGGTCTGAGTCCTGGGCCTGGTGGTCTGCTTTCTCATTCTCTCACTCTCTCTGGTAAGCACATGTGCCCTATAGCAAATTAAATACTTCTTTAGAGAGAACAGGCACACCCCAGTCACGAAGTGGACTTCTCAGCTGGGCTGAGGCATGGACAGTGCGGGTGGTTGTGACGAGCCCAGCCCGCCTGGGATGGGGGAACCAGGGACTCACCTGGATGTACAGGGCGTGGGCCAGGAAGGGCAGCTTCCTCAGGACTCGGCCACTGAGGCCCTCGCTCTTCCTGTGTGGAGAAGCCACGTTCAGGGGCGACCCACAAACCTCAGGACCGCTGAGCCTGCGGGCTGCTGCGGCACCCCTGGAAGCAACCTCGGTGCTGCCCCTGCGCCTCTCGCCCCTCAGCCTCCGCGGCTGCTTCGGGTGGGCAGTGCCCCCCCTGCCCCGAGTGCTCGACTCCACCTGCCCCACCCTGCCACGGTGGACATGATGCCGCGTGATACCATGGCACGTGGTCACAGCACAGCCCCGACGGCTCACGCCTGCAACTCCTGCAGTCTCTCAGCTGCTCTCTGTCCCTACTCTTACCGAAAGATAACCCAAGTCAGTTAGAAACACCTCTTCTTGGTGTTACCCCTTTGTTCATGGTGTTTAAATACACGTAAATCGAACCTTCAGGAACACCCCAGGCCCTCCGCCCTTGCCTCTCGACCCCAGCCTGGTGTGTGTGCTGTGGTCCGAGGCCTGTGCTCAATGCCCCGTGGTCTGTCTCTGCAGCTGCACCCGAACTCCCGCTGTCCCGCAGCCTGGCTTCGCTTTCCCTTCTCTGAAAGCCTCAGAGGCCCCGAGCAGCGAGCCAGCTGCCTCACTCTCCCGTGCCTATGGGAGGAGGGGGCTGTGCTGCGGTCTGCTCACCTGTGCGTGCACACGCCCACGCCCACTCCTAGTGTAGCAAGAGCTCACGGCAGGGCCCTGCCTGACCTTTTGGAAAACACCAATTTCGCAGCTGCTACTGGAGATGGGTTTCCCCAACGACAAACAAGCTCAATGTGCACCTGGAAATCTCGCTCAAAAGAAGGCTCAACTTGGACACGTTGTTCTCGATGAAGCCGATCATCTCTAGCTCCCTCAGGGTCAGCAGCTGCTGGCGGGGGTATACGAGCTGGCACTGGGGAGACAGGGCCGCCGTCCGGGCCGTCAGGGCGCGGCACACGGGCCACACGCAGGCCGCCAGAGCACGCTCACGCGTGACATGCACACCCATGCTGCTTCACAGGGAACACGGACAAGCTCTCCCAGAAACGAGAGGCACCCAGACGCTTCCGTTTGTGGCCAAAGCGTCTCCTCGTATCACTGGTCTGCTATCTCAGCTTCAAAGACACGTTGACACCCACAGGTGGGGACAGGTGGGACCTGCAGCCGGGACTTCTGACAGGGTGACACGGCCTGACCCCTCAGTGTAGCCCCTCCTGACCTCAGCCTGCCACTGAACCCGTCCTTCAGGTGCGGACAGGTAAGCTGGCTGCCCAGGCCAGGCTGTCTAGAACCAGACCTGCCCAGCAGGCTGACCGCCACCCACTAAGGGCCCGCCTGCGTGTGTGGGCTCAGGGCGAGCAGATGGTCAGCGTGAGCCCCAGAGCCGAAGTGCCCAGTCCGTGGCCACAGCTGTGACTCAGTCCAATGCGCCAGGCACAGTGGGACTGTGATTTCCAGTTAAGGTAGCCCGGACCCTGCACTGGAGCTGGCTCATTCTAGGCTTGACGACCGACTGCGGATGTGCGGAAAGCACCAGCTAAGAACACGACTTGTCAAGAGTCGTCAGCCAACCTTCATCAGCTCCTCCAAACACGAGAGGTAGATTCTGAAGATGGCTGCCGCGGAGGGAGGCCCGATGTACTGCTTGATGTCAGCCCTGTCCACGAAAGCCACGTCGATCTTCTCGGTGATGTTGGAGGTGGTCAGGATCACCACATTGGAATGCCTGTGGTGGCCGAGGAGCAAGGACGTCAGCGCGTGCCTCAGTGATAGCTCCCCGTGTAACGGCCATAGGAGGGACAGCCGGGGGGGGGCGTGCA